AAAGGAAGATGATAATTTTATAAATTAATTCTGTAACCAAAGACCTATTTAAACTCCACTATTATTTATAATATTTTTTCAGTTGGATTATTTTTATTTTTATTCAATATTAAATCTTACAATTATTTCTAAATTGTGTACATTTTATTTATTTTTTGTATAATTAAATTTCCCTGGATCTCCAGGTTAATGTTTACTAATAGTGGTGATAGTAAATGTTCTTATCATGTTTCTGACTTTAATATCAATAATTCTGAGGTTCCCCCTTAAATACATATGATGTTAGATTTTAGATTAAGATAAATAAATATTTTTAATTATGTTAAGTAGGTATCTATTATCATTTTATTAAAACGATTTTTGAAATAAATAAATTAAAATAGATGTTGGGTTTTATCAAGTGTCTCAGCACTAGAAACATGACTTTTAATCTATTAGGCATTATAAAAATACACATCTGATTTCCTGATAATAAATCAGTTGTCATTCCTGGAATAAATCACATTTGGTCATGGTATGTTAGTTTGTTAATATGCTTTGGGATTTGGTTTAATAATCTTTTATATTAATTGTTTTAGTATAATATTCCTAGAGTGATATCTTACTATTTTGAGTTTCTTACTCAGAAATACCAATTATGAATATATGTAGCTTATTTTGTATATATTTCTGTAATTTAATCCTTTAAGCATGTGTATTCTTTACACTCTCTTTTTTTCCAATCCATTCTCCCACATGCCTAGAGTTGTTTCAGCAGTACACAATCTTTGTTGCAGCTTCCAAGTTGCACTTTGATCTTCATTTCTGTGATTTTTGAAAAATATTTTATTGATTTTTTACAGAGAGGAAGAGAGAGGGATAGAGAGTTAGAAACATCGATGCATCGATCAGCTGCCTCCTGCACATCTCTTACTGGGGATGTGCCCGCAATCAAGGTACATGCCCTTGACCGGAATCAAACCTGGGACCTTTCAGTCCACAGGCCGACGTTCTATCCACTGAGCCAAACCGGTTTAGGCATTTCTGTCATTTTCTTGAATATCTTCCTTTAACTCTACCAACCCATGTTTAACCTACTTCTGTTGTTCTGTAATTGTTTTCTGTGAAATTGCATATAAGTGATTACTCATTTTTTTTTAATTCAGGAATATATTTGGTCACAATTTTGATCCAGCTCATTAGACATTTTTCTAGTAAATATTTCTTGACTGCCATTTAGGTTTTCCTCTTTCTGTCCTCTTTTTTATTTCTTCTTTTTATAGAACCTGTGTTGATTCTTTTTTGATTAGTTATCCTGAATCAGATTTTTTTTTAATTTTATTTATTTATTTATTTATTTATTTATTTATTTATTTATTTATTTATTTATTTTAGAGAGAGAAGTAGGAAGAGAGAGAGAGAAACATCAGGATGAGGAGGAAACTTGGATCATCTCCCTCCTGCACACCCCCTATAGGCATGCATCCCAACCAGGAATCAAACCAGCAACCCTTCAGTGCATGGGAGGATGCCCAACCAACTGAGCCACACCAGCCAAGACCTGAATCAGCTATTTTTAAAAGATAAGGATAAGGGCCATATCCCAGCCACAGGAATTTTTGTTTGTTCTGTGTTGTTTATGGAAAAGCTTATTTTGAGCCTTCAACTTTCTTCAGTCAATTGATATTAGCACCTTAGGGCCATTTATAAACCAAAGTCACTATCCTTCTTACTGGCATACCAATTACTCTTTTAAAGTGTGCTAATATTTTAATTGGGGGATGTTGAAGTCAGACTCACCTTAAATACATAAGAATTCTTCTTAAATGGACATTTCAGAAACTTTGAAAGGCTAAAGAAAGGGGAATAAGGGAAAAATGTTTCAGCAAAGGGCCTTCTAACAATATACTCATATGGCCAGCTTGGGTATCATATAACTTAATCATACACTTTCCCCGTCATCTTATTGTTCTCCAATTTGAGGAGAACTACTATCATTGAGAGTAACACCATCTAGCCCCACCTGAGGAAGTCACTGATGGCTTCCCAAAGGAGATAATGCCTGACAGAAGGGACTTTCTAAGAAAAGCGATCAGCATGTGCAAAGCCAGGAGGTACAATGATTGAAAAGTGAGTCATAGCAATGAGAATTTGACTGCTGCTCTGCAACTGAAGACTTTTCTCTGAATGGGAGAAATCTGTACCATTGGGGATCAAACTGTGAGTGGTTCAGCTCTGTAGACTTATTAAGACTATAGAAGAGCAAAAGATAGCATGGCACAGTGAATGGGGCTTTATCAGGAACTAAGGAAAATATTTTTCCATAGTACTAAACTGTCAGCCTGGACACAATGTGCATCAAGGCAAGAAGACTCACCAGGAATGGATATTTTTAAATTGCATATTGCTCATATAAATCCCAAAGAAGCAGCTTATAAACATCTAATCTTCTCTGATGTGACCACACCACTTTCATCACATAACAAGCTGGTCAGCCTACCCATTTCTGTTCAATGGCTATCTGTTGTAGTTCCTGTGACTAAATTGAATTTTAATTTAATCACATAAGTTATGTTTTTTATCCATCCATATAAATGAATATTTACTTATATGTTGTTTATTTATTCTTAAAAATTATGTTATTTCTATCAAAAACTAATGATAATAAGCACAATCATATCTAGCATGTATAAATAAATCACAACTTTTCAAAGTCCTTTTTATGTCTTATCTTAGCCAACCCATGCTTAGTATCAGTGGGATCTGGAATGGAGAGATTTTTATCTTCTTGTGCAAACAAGCAAATTGAAAAGCCAGAGGCCAACAGACATACTTGCAGTTATGCCCGTGGTCAGCAAGCCAAGGATCGAGAGCTACATGCAGCTCTTTGGCCCCTTGAGTGTGGCTCTTCCACAAAATACCACGGCCTGGGCAAGTCTATTTTGAAGAAGTGGCACTAGAAGTTTAAATTTAAAAAATTTGGCTCTCAAAAGAAATTTCAATCTTTGTACTGTTGATATTTGGCTCTGTTGACTAAAGATTTTGCAGACCACTGAGTTACACAATTACTTAGCCCTGAAGTCAAAACTGGAACTCAGGTTTCCTGGCTCCTGATGCTTTCTACTTCCTACTTTGATTCCTTAGCACTCTCTTCAATCCACGAAGACAAAAGAAGCCGTACTGTTTCTCCCATTCTCCCTTATGAATGAGAGAGGGAAAAATCAACAACAATCACCAAGGAGCCAAAATGGGTAAAACAATGTGACATAGGAAGATCATAAGTATTGGAACCAAACTGACAAAAATTGTATCTTGGTGTCAACCTTGCTTTCTGCGGGAGTTTGGATCAGTTTCTCCATCTCTCTAAGTCACGCATTGCTCATCTATAAAATGAGGATAATACTATTTCTGTAGGGTTGTTTTGTGTTTTTTTTTTTAATTTTTTACTATCCAATACAATATGTTTATTTCTGAGCTAATACATTCTGTTCCTCTATTCCCCTTTGTTTTGTTTTTGTTGTTTTGTTTGTTTTGTAATCTTTATTATTGAAAGTATTATATTAAGTCACTGTTTTCCCCCCAATGCCCTCTTCCAGCCTGCTCCTGCCCCCACCCCAGGCCCTGAGCACCCCATTGTCTGTGTCTACAGTTATGCTTATATGCATACAAGTTCATTGGTTGATCTCTTCCCACCCACCCCTGACTTCCCCCTAAGGTTTGACAGTCTATTCCATGCTTCTATGTCTCTTGGTCTATTTTTGTTCATCCATTTATTTTGTTCATTAGATTCCACATGAGTGAGAGCATGTGATACTTATCTTCCTCTGACTGGCTTATTTCACTTAGTGTAATATTCTCCAGGTCCATCCATGCTGTTGCAAATGGTAAGAGTTTTTTTCTTTTTTACTGATCTGTAGTATTTTATTGTGTAAATATACCATAATTTCTTTTTATTTTTTATTCATTCATCTGCTGATGGGCACTTAGGCTGTTTCTAAATCTTAGCTATTGTAAATTGCACTGCTATGAACATAGGGTTGTGTATATTCTTTCTGGTGAGTGTTTCGGGTTTCTTTATGTATATTTTGTGTGTTCACCTTAGTCCTGGCCATTCAGTGTATATCCTATATAATAAAAGGCTAATATGCAAATTGCCCCTTCAATCAGGAATTCGACCAGCAGGCAGGCCAGGCAACTGCCCATGTCCCCTCCCCCTTGCCAGGCTGGCTGGACCCCACCCATGCACGAATTCATGCACTAGGTCTGCACCTCTCCAATCTGGGATCCCACTCGAAATCCAGAACCACTGGCTTCTGAATTCTCACCTGCCTGCCTGCCTGATGCCCCTAACTGCTCTCCTGCCTGCCTGATGCCCCTAACTGCTCCCCTGCCAGCCTGATGGCCCTAACTGCTCTCCCCTCCTGGCCTAACCCCCTAACTGCCTATGTACCCTCCCTTCCTCTCTGAGCCTTCAGAACCCCGGTGTAGGAGTGCTGAGAGCTCTCCACCGAGGTCCTGCCTCATCCTGACACACACACACACACACACACACACACACACACACACACATACCATCTGGTCCTGGCTCCACCACAGGCCTGTGCAGTGCCTCCACCAGTAGGGCTGCATCCCCTTTCCCCCTGCCCCCCGCAGCAGCCTCATGACCTGGTAGCACAAGTCCCCATCCCTCTCCCCTCCTAACAGCTCCTGCCTATTAACCAGTCATGACTGTGACAATAGTAGGACCAATTAGCATATTACTTCTTTATATATATAAATATAGAGAGAGAGGTTTTTAAGGGAAAAGTAGCATTTCAATGTACTTTGATTTTCAACACAGTCACTAAACAACAAGAAATGTAGTTCCTCCTAAGCTTGTGCAGATTATTGTTGTAGAAATAGTCACCCTCTTTTTATATAACTATAAATATTTAGAGAAACCTGCCAGTATATTCAACCCTTCCTATTTTTCACAAGAATTTCCTACTTCAAGTGGAATATTTAGAAACAGTAAAAAGGGCTAGATGTTTCCATATGAGTTTAATAATACTGTAGTATTTGTATTCACATATCATATATCCCTGGTACTTCATAGCTCATTATCATTCAAAATTTACAAAGCAGTATATGAAAGCAAAAGGCTTAGAAGCAGCTCTTCTCCTGCCCAACAGTAAGTTATTAATGCAAAGATTGGGACTTATAATTACCAACACATGTGGTCCTACAATAGCTCAAGATAAGTCTCATAAGAAAAAATAAAGTGTTCAGTAAGTACAATATATCAAATCCAAAACCCCATTTATTCAAGATAATTTAAAAAAACATGTATCTTTAATCATATGAATAACCATATTAAGTCTCATAGGTCTACATGAATATAAAAATAGATTCATGTTTCATTCAATTAAACTGAATACTTAAAATGAATTAATAAATATTTATATACATATAGAATCCAATTACTTTCACAAAGTAGAATATGTTTCCATCAAAAAAAGTCATCAAACATGACAACATATTTAAAAATGTGAAGTACTATCTTAAAATTTTTTTCCAACATGCTATAAGGGTACAGATGCCACTGGCCAGACTGCTATATATTTTATCAAGTGTCTCTTTAGTGTGAATCAAAACATCCCATTGTTTACTGATTCAGTTGCGAAGGGAAGGTCCCAAGTTTTCTTAGCAGTACTTAGCTGTGGTTTTGATTCCAGTGTCCTGAGCACCATATGTCTGGGAGATTCTGTAAGATCTGTCTCAAAGAAGCACATGCTACCACATGAGCATCAGAAGGAAGGTTAGCAAGTGACTGAATCAACTTCTTTACTATTGTCTTCAAACACTGGTGAGCAGCATTCAAATCTCTGTCAAAATGGTGTCCTTCGATCTATAGAGCCAGATGACTGCAGATGTTTCTAAACTCAACACTATCCTGAAAGGAACAGCAAAAACCAACAAGCAACTGGACGGATTATTGAGGACATTTGTTTTATACTTTGTGTACCCAATTCCCACCCTCCACCCCTCTTCTGATGACAGCACTCTGACTTTTCTCCCAGAGAACTACTCTCCTCCATTCTCAGCCTATGCGGTTTGACCAAAGCTGACCTCACTCCAGGGACCAGGCTAATCAGAGCATATCATGCCTCAGCCACTTGGACTGTTTAGGGATGGACAGGTGACTCAACACAGGCCAATAAGCCACAGTCCCAGAATATTATCTAGGCTGAGAAAGAGAAACCCTTTTTAACTGAAACTGTTGGAAAATATCTTGCTACCACAAGGGAGAATCCAAATTACAATGATGCCAACACAGAGAAAAGTAGACCCAAGAAATTTTAAAAGACTGATTCTAATAACATTTTCTGAACATGTCAACTTAGCCGTATGTAAATAAACCCCAAGATTTTTTGTTTATCTGAGTGAACAATTATCCCTTTTTACTTAAACCATTTGAAGTTGAGTTTCTGTTATTTGTTCCTAACAGAGCTTTGACAAATACACAAATAGCCTCTGTTCATGTAATCCCCTACTCACTTTCTTCAAGTTCCCAATATAGGATTTAGGATTGAACAGGGTCTCAAAAAATTTCCAGTGCAAATTTAGAAGGAAAAAAAAATAGTTCCTAGGTGGTTTAAAACAAGGAAGTAAATAGATTTTTAATCCCAAAATGTTTCATATTCTAAAATGCATTGCATGTAAATGGTACACTGAAATTACTCCACATTATATGGTTTATTTTAAAATAAATGGAGATGATTTCCCACAGACTTCTGGGTCTGGCAACATAGCATGTTTATTTTCTTCAAAACCTCTTGCTACTAAATTACTGCTAAATGAAATAGAAAAAACATCCTTTTTGCACTTGCAGGAAAGTAATGGAAATCCCTAAGGGCCAGAAATAAAAGAAAAGTATTGTAGATTGCTTTAGCTGCCCTCCAATACACATCAGAAAAAGAAAATCAGTCTCTCTCTTAAACTGAGTTTAGGACTAGGGTAAAGTTTTCCCAAGAATGTGTAACTATGGACCTATATTACACAGAAGTTTAAGTTTGGAGTTAACCTCTGTACCATATACATGTTTGGGGACACTCATGCTAAGAAATTAACTTCAAAATTGGAACAGGGCTGAAATGTCCATGGACACAAGGAAAAGCAAACAAAAACCTATCCCAGAGTCCATGCCCACTGAGGCATTCCCATAAAGCTCCGTCAAAGACAAGCTCTGTTTGAAACTTAAAATACAATTCACCATGATATAGTAGATACAATGCAGGGCAATATTAAATTACAAAAGTTTCAAATATAAACTATAAAATATGCTTAAAATGATTAAAGATATAAAAGAAGGAATAAAAAATGTTTTAAGAAAAATCAGGCTTGAAAAAGAACCAAATGCAACTTCTAGAAATGACAACTATCATGACAAATTAAATATTCAATGGACAGTTTAAACACTTGAATAAATACATCGGAAGTGAAAAATAGTAAACATGATAATTGTAAGAAAAATTGCTCAGAAAACAAAATAAACAGAGGGAAGATAGGGTGGAGGGACGGGGAGAGTTTAACCAGGGAATTACATGCATACCCTGTTTCTCCGAAAATAAGACAGTGTCTTATATTAATTTTTGCTCCCAACGATGCGCTAGGTCTTATTTTCAGGGGATATCTTATTTTTCCATGAAGAAGAATATAGTACACATTTATTGTTAAATGAAAATAAAGAAAATTTATTACCTGTATATGGTACGGTAGTATGGTAGTTGTCAAGACAAACTGTGAATCTTACAGTATCAAGAATTTACTCATTTATTCAATGATAATCATGTCATCATCTTCTGGAACATCATAATAACAATCCAATTCCTGAATTTCCTGGTGAATTTTTTATGAAGTTAATTTTCATTCTGAGACAGAGCCTAGGGGGGCCTTATTTTCGGGAGGAAGCCTTATATTTCACTCAGAAGGAAACCTGTAAGTAGGTCTTATTTTCGGAGGATGTCTTATTTTCGGGGAAACACAGTATATACATAGTCCATGGACACATGTGGTGAAGAACAAGGAGGAGTGAGTATGGGGTAGAGGGAGTCAATGGGAAAAAAGGGGAACATCTAATATACTGTAATACTTTCAACAATAAAGATAATTTTTTTTTAAAGGAAAAATAACAAAACTAGATAACTAAAAAAAAAAGTTCAAGACATGGGAAATATGAATGAGTGGTTAAGCAACATGGATGATAGAATGCCCAACTACAATAAATGCATTTCCAGAAGAGACAAAAGAATCATTATAAGATTATCCAAATCTGATCCAAAACATGAATCCTTAGATTCACGAAATAAAACAAGCCTTGTACAGAGTAAGTTAAATGAGACACAAATCTAAACTCATTAAGGCAAAACTACTCTTAAAAGTAACCAGAGAAAATAAACAAACATATTTTAAGGGATGACAAGACAGACAATGAACTTCTAAGCTACAATTAAACATAGAAAAAATAGAATAATATTGCCAACTAACTTCAACCAAGAAATCTTTTTAATCTAAGTAAACTATTAGAGCAAAATAAATATATCTTCATTTAAAAGGACAAAAGTAGTTACTACAAATAGACTCTCACTGTCAGATCTTCCTTAAGATATAATTCAGAAAGAGGAAGTTAAATGCAGAGAGAATGAGATACAAGAAGCTACAGTGAATGAAGAAACATAAAAATATGATATAAAGCTAAAGAATTGATTGTTTGAAACAAAAATCTTAACAACTAACTTGGAGTTTACAACAGCAAGATGGTTCGAAAATGCTGAATAGTAGTAACATGTAGGATGAAGAAATATTTTAAAACATTGCATTTATTCAAGAGAAAGGTAGAAAATTGATAAATTTCAGATTTTTAAATTATGTACATGAGAAATGTAAGTGTTATTATTAAGGTAGAGAAATAATACATACAACTTCAAAATCAGCAGGGGAAAAGTACATTAAAACTTTATTGGTCCTATCTATACAGGTAAAAATGAAAAAATGCACAAACATAAAGCAAGGTGAATAGAAAACACCAAACAAGACACTTTTGAAATATAGTGGTAATCAGACTGTATTTAAAAAATCTATATGCTTGCTGGGACCGGTTTGGCTCAATGGATAGAGCGTCGGCTTGGGGACTGAAGGGCCCCAGGTTCGATTCCGGTCAAGGGCATGTACCTTGGTTGCAGGCATATCCCCAGTAGGGGGTGTGCAAGAGGCAGCTGATCTATGACTCTCTCTCATAGATGTTTCTAACTCTCTATCTCTCTCCCTTCTTGTCTGTACAAAAATCAATAAAATATACTTAAAATAATAACAATAATAATAATAATAATAATAAATAAAAAATCTATATGCTTTTTAAAAAACTTTAAAAGGAAAAGTACCTAAAGATTAAAGTCAATGAATACTAACATACATATATGCCAAGCAGAAAAACCAAAATAAAGCCAGAAAAATCATTATTAAGTATAAAATAAACCCCAATTAAGATAGGAGATTATTCCCTCAAGAAGTTATAACAATTATGTACTTGTGTGTGCCTACTATGATAACTTCAATTTACATTCAAAAAGACATTTTAGGGAAATCAAGACAGTGGCTTAGGTAAACACACCTAAACTGCTGCTGTGCACAACAATTTCAAAACTACAACTAAAAGACAAAACATCTATCACCCAGAACCACGGGAAAGCTGGCTGAGGGGAAGCTCTACAACTAGACTGAAAGAGAAAGGAGCATTCAAGGCACAAGAGCTGAAAAACTGAGGTACTGGGGCACAAGCGTGATATGGGCTGGCGGTGGATCCTCGCTGGAGACAGTCATTGCTTTCTTCAACCCAAAGAGAAACAAGCTCCCAATCTCTTTGAAATCCAATTTCTGGGGAAAAGCTAGACTGTCTGCCATCAGGTTGGAAAGTGAGGGAAGCTTGCTTGCAGAGCTGCGAGCAAGAATAATTGTTTGCTGTGTAGGGGCACGTGAAGCGGGGAGACACGGGGACTTGGTCAGAGAGGCAGAGAAAGCTGACTGGCAGTCATCGCTGTTTGCCACTCTCTAGCCTAGAGATGCTCTGAGACTCCACCTCGCACAATCTACAAACACACCCAAGCTCCAAGCAGCGGCTCTTGCATAAGGATGGCCTTCTCTAGTGCAGTATAACCTAGCAAACTTGCAACCTGGTGCAAAAAGCTCCAAAGCCTTCAAGCTCCAAGCAGGGAGGAGAGGACTGTGGTTCTCGCTGTAGCTCCTGCAGGGTGGCCTCAGACAGTAGTTGAATTGCACCCCATTGGAGAACCAGAAGCCAGTGTATCTAATGGTCAGTGTGAGACACGACTTTAACCCTTCACATCCATAAGTAACACATTCGGGAGGTGGACTCAGTGAGCACCAAAGCCCCACTAAAACAAGGTCTGCACCATAAACTTGTCTTTAGCACAGCAGTTTATCCATTATAAACACAGCGAGTCCTCACAGCCAATTGGCCTAGAGGTCAATTCCTCCCAATGTACCAACTGCAATCAAGGCTTAACTACACCAAGACTTTGCACTCAGCCCACAAGGAGGTGTACCTAGAAAGACCATCTCAGGTGATTGGGGAAGCTGAGCTACTGGTCCCAATAGGTCACCTACCACACAAAGCCACTCCATCAATACAGGAAGGAAACCAAAATGCAGAGACACAGAAGCATGTCATGAATGTACGAGATGGAGGAAAGTAAACTAATGGATGACACAGAGTTCAGAATCACATTTATAAGGTTACTCAAGAAACCTCTGGGATGGCTTTAAGCATACCAACATTTGGATTTTTGGGGGTGCCAGAAGGAGAGAGAGAGCAAGATATTGAAGGCTTAATGGAAGAAATAATGACAAAAAACTTTCCCTACCTGGTGAAAGAAA